AAGAAGATCAGACACCAGCGATCGAGGACAGACGCAACAACATTGTCATCCCCTATGTAGCCGGTGTATCAGAAAAACTCAGGAGAGTTTTCTCCAAGCATGACATTCCGGTGCATTTCAGACCCAGCAACACACTCAGACAAAAACTGGCTCACTCGAAAGACAAAACTCCAAAACACAAACTTAACAATGTGGTGTATGCGGTACAGTGCAGTGAGGAATGCCCAGACCTCTACATTGGAGAGACCAAACAGCCACTTCACAAACGAATGGCACAACATAGGAGAGCCACCTCCACAGGACAAGACTCAGCAGTCCATCTGCATCTTAAGGATAAAGGACACTCTTTCGAGGATGCCAACGTTCACATTTTGGACAGAGAGGACAGATGGTTTGAAAGAGGAGTGAAAGAAGCCATCTATGTCCACTGTGAGCGACCATCTTTGAACAGAGGCGGGGGTTTACGACACCAACTCTCTGCCATCTATAATCCAGTTTTGAGTTCCCTCCCCAGACACCTTAACGCCCACTCACATCCTGGGCCATCCGACCTCAGGAATTCGCATGATAAGGTGGGGCCAGGTTTCACAATGAACACACCCGAAACTCTGGCTGATTGGGACCCACGCCCAATTTCACACCTTGGCTCAGGCGATTAGAGGATCATCAGGGGGTCCTTTTGTCCCTCTGTGGGGGGTCACTCCCACTAGGTTTATATCTGGGACTCTACACCATTTGACCTTAGAACTGAAGAAGCTTCTCGGATGAGAGGTGAAACATCTTCAAGCAACTTAAAGAAATACTAGACTATCTCTTTACCCTCTCATTTCCCCTAAAGTTGTTATAGTTCACTTAAACTAACTAAATAATAAAACCTGATGTGAAAAATGAAAATTTCATTTCAAAAGACTACCTGACAGAAGCCTTTATAAGAGCTGTACCATCTAATTGCAATGTAATGCAGGCAAACAAAACTTTTCTTTTTACTTATTGTTATTGTTTCTTCAAAAAGCTCTATAGTTGACAGTTATTGTGTAGATTAATAATTACTTTTTTGAATTGTATACTACAGGTTTTTGACTGAGCTTCTTGGAAAGTAGAAGAGAGCTGCCTTGAGCTCTGAAAATGTGAACAGGCTAGTTTGTCTAAGTAACTGGCTGAAAGAGATGGACAGTAAATGAGCATGGCGGTACTGTGAGTCCAGAGGATTTGTTATTTTTGCACTAAAATGTTCGATGATCACACTATTTTAGCCTAATGTACAAAATAATTTTGGCTAAGGTTCCTCTGAGTTTAAAGGTGAAGCTGGTCAAATAACCAATACCATTTTGAAAATGTACTTGAAGCACTTTATTTTTAGGTCTGCCCAATTTTGTCCAGAGACTTTTTTTTTTCTGTGATTTAAATTGAAATGCAGTTTAAAGACTTTTTTCGGGAATTAAAAGAGCTCGAGTTTACAATGTTCATGCCCATGTCTAATATTTAATTCTGTCTCCCACTATTAAAAATAAAAAAAACTAAGCTTTTGAAATAAATCAAAAATAACTGAAATTAAAAGACCCGATTTTTTTTTTTTTTTGGTATTGTTTGTTTGGTAAACTTTCAAACAGAGAAAATCCATAAGGGAAAAATAGGGAATAGAGTGGCCAGTGTGCACAACATGTTGTTCTAATTTTTAATACATAAATTCAATAGTATACTTACATTTAATGATGACAGTAATGGGTGCTGTTGCAGTAGAACTCAATGTCCGTGTGGACACTGTGACATACACACAGCTGTAGTTGCCTTGGTGTTCATACTCAGCTACAGGGAAACTAAAGGAGGCTGCGTTGTTGACTGCTGGCTTGCTGTCTGGGATGTTGGAGTCAGAGAAGATGAGGATGAAACGTCCACTGGAAAAACTGGAGTTAATGGAGCAGGTGAAGACAAAGCTGTAACCCCTGGTGATCTCTGAACCTTCAGGACCCCAGACCAGACCTCCGCTTGGAGATGTCAGAGAGATGCTGGGTGTCTGCAGTCTCACTGGGGAATAAAAGGTACCAGGATTAAGAAGGAAGCAGAATCAAACACAACACTTAGTTTCTTGTTTACACATTTAGCAGTTATGGACCAGCATTAACATTTTTTGTTATGCTTCTTATGATTTAATGAATGAATATTCACTCTTTTAGGTCTTTGCAAACTCTAAATTTGATTCTTTCATTGCTAAACGCTCCACAGTCTCCAATAACTAACCTCTAATACTGTCCGATTGCTCCTTGCTACAGTGGGCTTTGAGAGCATTTTTGATAATGGCCAAAAATAAAGAAAGCAGTAAAAATATCAGATAAATAAAGTGACTAAAAACTATAAAGTAAACATTTTTGTCTTTAATACATTGTTTTTATATACAACAATTAACTAAGTTTAAAGCTACGATTGAAAAACTCTTTCAGTAACTTTGTTACAGTTTTTTTTTTAAAAAAATCAAAGGACCAATGATAAAAATGAAAATGCAGTAATCTCTTATTTTACGTCACTGTTATTCGTATCGGCTTTGTTCCAAGAGTTACTCCATACTTGTGTTATTTTTAACCAGCAACAGAGAGTCTGACCAAATCACTTAATGGGGAACTGAATTCACGACATGAGCCTCTTTTCTTATACTGACACTGCTACAATCCCTCGTTATCAAAATCCACGTTAGGAATATTAAAGGTAGCAGAGTTTGTGTTGGAGGTTTAATCCGATTACTTTTTTTAAGTAACGGGTAAAGTAAGGGATTACTATTGCAAAAACGGTAATTAGATTACCGTTACTTTCCCGTAGGAACGCTGCATTACTGCGTTACTAAAACCATGGTCGTGTCCAAATTCATGGGCTGCATCCTCCTGAGGACCCGGCCTTCGCGGTCTACGTGGGCCGGGTCCTCAGGAGGTCGGGTAGGCCGGAAGTAAACAGCCGTGGAATTGGACGGTCTAGCCTCGGTGTCTCGGTGGAGTTTAATAAACTCGGCCGTCTGCTCCTTGTTATCTAAAATATAACAGGACACTGGAGTAAATTCTCGACCATCTCACACTTCTGTTTAATCAGTTTTCTGTTTGATGTTTATTCAGCTGTGCGAAAACCAAGGAGGAACCCACCCGAGGGATTAATGAAGTTTTATTTTATCTAATTTAATCTAATAACTTTAATCTCAGCCAAACAGATTTACTCACGAACAAACAAAACACTGAAAAAAGCCAAACAAGAACATTTTTAGGTTGTCTAAGTGACTTATATATTACGTTTAACCTGAGTAGTGAAAGTCTGCGGTGATCTGAAAATGATGTGCTGGGAGTTGTGCCGTTCTCGGCCGCATCACTAACCCTCGAGTTCCCGGCTAGCTATCGAGCTGGTGGGTAAGAGACGTCTCCGAAAATGTTGAAGCACTTTTGCAAATATGCGATATCTTGATAAACCAAGCAGATATTTGAAGTTTACACAGCTACATTCTCGCCTGAAAATATGTTAAAAGTTTATTTTAGAATAGAATTAGAATAGAATTAAACTTTATTGTCATTGCACATGCACAGGTACAAGGCAACGAAATGCAGTTTGCATCCATCCAGAAGTGCTTTAGTGATATAGATATATTACAATATATATTAGCAATAATATAGATATGTAAGTATATTACAGAAATGGGTCTATTATGGTATGTTATAATGTACACGGTATGAAGTATGTTGTGAATATTCTTTTTGTGACCCAGAAAGATTAATAAGAGTAATTTTAAAACTTAGTAGCGGCCGCCATTGTTGGAAACTGGAATTGGCTGGGCCGCGCTATGAATTCTGGGATGTGGTGGGCCACGAAGGACACACCCGACCCATCCTTCAAATTCGGGGAAAAGGAGGACGCATTTGTCGGCTGCATTTGGATTTGGACAGCCTTCGGCGCATCGCTGTGACATAATCGGTCTACAAATGCGCCCTCAGGAGGATGCAGCCCATGAATTTGGACACTGTCGCTACCTGATCCGTACTGGAAACCCGATCGGTACCCCGCATGCGCAAATCTTACGTCACTTCCTCTCTTTGCCAACATTGCAACATTCAATATATTTGAATGATACGGTTAGCTTTCAGTTAGCTCCTAGCATTTCTCAACAGCTCTGCCTCCTTTTCGACTGCCCGGGACATTTAAACAATGGATAATCCGTATACAAAGAAATTCATGCTTTTCTCCTCAACAGAGAGCGTTCCCCGATTGAACAACAGCACCGTAAAATAAGAAGAATGGCAGGTGAAAATAGAGCAAAAGGACCGCTAGGTCTTTGATGTTATTTATTTTCTGCTGTGTTTTACTTGCATCTATTTGAAAGAGTGAGTGTAAACACAGAAAAAATATTTTATGTGCTGGAATGTGTAGAAAATAGGTTTAAATATTAAACAAATTTCTTCCAGTCAGTGAATGTTGCATATAATTACATTTTTGCTTGATGCATAAAGTTAAAAGATTAAAACTAATAAAACAAGTTTTAAAAAGAGACTTTTCCATTTGATTACATTTTGTATGATGGATTATGCAGAAAAAGTAGAATTGGGCTGAAAGATCTATCGCTTTATCACCTCTTCAGGTTGTAAATCGTGTTTTTAAAAAGTAACTAAGTAATTAATTACTTTTGAAAATAAGTAATCAGTAAAGTAACGGGATTACTTTTTTGGGGAAGTAATCAGTAATTAATTACTGATTACTTTTATTCAAGTAACTTGACCAATACTGCTCGTGAATGAACCCTGAATTTGACTCAGAGTGAACGATCCACCTAAAACCTGAGTTGAGACTGAACATGTGATTTCAACAGTCTGACCCCAGGTCACCTCACCAACAGGGCAAATGGAGATACGAGGTTTTGGAAACCTCACTGAAAAAATATCAACATATCAAAGCATTATCTCACCAGGTTACTGATTCTATTATTGAAAGAAGAGAATGAAACAAACAACTTGGCAAAGTGGATTTTTTTTTCTTACCAGTGAGTCTGACAGGGGAAGAGCTGAACCTTCGACTTGTTTTCATGTACTGACACTGGTACAGTCCATCATGATCAAAGTTCACATTTTGAAGATTGAATGTAACAGAGCTTGTAGAGGATGGTTTAGTCTGACTGAATGAGCCTGAAGTCTTCTGGAGGATAAAAGTTCCACCTGAGAACTTGTATGAAACTGAGCAAGTGATGCTGACGTCCTGACCCCAGGTGACCTCATTACTGTACAAGGAGATGGTGGGCTCAGGGGGGGTTTCTAAAAAAAAAAAAAAGATGTAGTATTAGATAAAACAGGACACAGTCGAGTTCAGATCAGATAATATTAGTGGCTACGATATTGGCTAATGGCTTAGCTGATACCGTTTTGTGTCTGCAAATGACAAATCTCTGCAGCTAAATACCAGACTACTGTTTTTTTTTTCATGCTGTATCTGATTTAGTGTCTGCTGGCAATTATGTGCAGTACTGTCACTGCTGGTTATGGTTACACTATCTCCAGCCTCTCGTATACACACAGAAAAATGAGGCAGGTGTGCTCTCTCCTGAATACCACAATAATATGTACTGCCTCCTTCTCTTCTCCAATACACTGCGACCTCTTGGTTTCTCTCCCTGGACATCTTCGACATATGATCAATGACCATTAAGTCAAATTATAAAGAAAAAACATCAGATAAACACTCACTGAAACTGATCATGAGCTATAACAGTGTAGAGCAGGCTGGTGATGGTTTAAACTTCTCTGATTAGTTACTGGCACTAATTTTACAGACTTTAACTGCTCTTTTCATTCTCTCATCTCATATTTCCTTTTTCTCACAATATCTTGAGGGGGTTAGACAGAAACTTTTTTGACCTTGCTTCTATCTTATGAATGTTTCAGGTTATTGCTGCTAAAGGAGGTTTTTAAATTAGAGTGCACACATTGTAATGATGCTTTTTTTAAAAGTAAGATAAGCAAAATATGATGGAATGAGAACAAACTAGAATCTAAGTTTTAACTAATACATGAAAAAACCCAGTTGTGACACCACCGCAGACTTTGGAAACAGTTTTCTTACCTGAACAGACCACACCAGCGTCTTCACTATGGCTACACTATGGTATGTTTAATTATGCGACTCAGTTATCTCATTAAATGTGCATCAAACTGCAAACATGTTCAACAGAAAGATTGAGTGTAATAAAACAACACCTTTGAACATCTTTTCTGCGAAAGTAAAATATGATGGAATGAGATCTTACTAGAATCTAAGTATTGACAAGTACAAGAAAAAAACAGCTATTATAAAGTGATAAGACCATAAACACTATAGAAAAGTTTTCTTACCTGAACAGACGACGCCAGCGTCCCGACCAAAGTTACAGGAATAACTAATGCTGTACCTACAATAATCTAGAGAAGTTTCACTTCCTGAACAGTCCACATTACTGCGGAAGAAATTTCCTGTACCTTGACCAAAGTAAGCAGACCCAAGAGCCTCCAGTGCTATCCCACAGCCCAGCTCTCTACAGACCACCTCAGCATCTTTTAAGTCCCAGCCATCATCACACACTGTTCCCCAGGAGGTGTAACGGTAAGAGTAAGAGTAAGACTTATAGATTTCAACCCTTCCAGAGCACCGAGATCCAGCTAATCTGAGCCAACCTACCAGGAAAAAGAAAATATGAGCTATATTGCAAAAATGGCTTTAAATTAAAAATGCAAGTATGACAGGTTAGAACAGACTGACCTGCAGAAGGTGAAGGTGACACCACGAGATAAACAACTATGGGAAAATTAAACCATGGAATGTTATCAAGACATAAAGTTATTCAGTCTAAAAATAATTTAAGAAAAGTTGTTGTAAAGTTATCCAGACTGTCTCTGTGATAAAGAAAAGTATTAAACATTATGGAAAATCTGTTTTACCAAAGATCAAGAAGTGCAGCGCTCTCTTCTCTCTGCCCTCCATGACTGAGAAGAAAGGCTGCTGCTTCGTGTCATTTATGAGAACAGATGACAGAAAACTGAACTAAAACCTGTGGTTTACAAAAACACTTTGCACTGGTTATCCTTCTGAAACACTTCTCCTTTTGATTTCTTTTTTTTTTCTTACATGAAGTAACAGAGCACTAATACTGAACAACTCTGAAATTTAGAGCACCAAAAGAAACTGCAGCACTCAAACAACACATTTAATAATAATAATAATGGATTGCATTTATATAGCGCTTTTCGGGGCCCTCAAAGCACTGTACAATTCCACTACATTTACCAGGTCTGGGCTTAAAAATAAACATAAAAATGTCCTTTTATATGGATCTGAGTGCTTAATTGTAAGTAACGGTCTAACATCCAAGAAAGCAGGCAGATAATGGATTACAGATCTTCCTTATAGAACCAACGCATAAGCTTATTTTGACGAGTCTCTTTTTCAGGCACCGTACAAAAAGCAAAATGAACAAAACAAAACAAGAAGGAAACAAGAATAGATTTAAAAAACAAGTAAAATACATAGTAGGTGCTAAACATACACATGACACAAACACATGAACAAATCAGACAGACTCAAATGCCAGCGGGAAATACGTTTTGAGTCTAGTTTTAAATGACTCAGTGGAGGGAGCACATTTGACTATGAGGGCAATGCTCTTCCACAGGTCAGGGACAACCACAAGAATGCAGGTCTCTTTGACTTTAAATACAGAGCAGAGAACAGTCAGAAGCATCTGCTCAGCTGATCAGAGGGACCTGGAAGCTGAACAGGGCTGCAAGTGGCCAAAGATGTAGAAAGCAGCCAAACCATGACGGGTTTTGTAGACAAACAGGAGAAACTTGAAAGTGATTGTAAAACTAACTGGCAACCACTGGAGAGAAGTTAAAACAGCTGTAATATGATCTCTTTTTGGGGTGTCTGTGAGGAGCAATATTTTGAACAAACTGGAGACGGGACAGGAAGGTCAAGTGAGAGGAAATGAGAGATGTAAAAATCACAGTTTTAATGTTGGAAAAAAAGAAAAAGGAAAATACAAAAACTAAGCAGGGCAGAAACAGACAAACAGACAGACACCACTTCCACAAAGGGGGAGAAAAGAACAGAGGGAGACGCAGACAATATATATGCAATAGGGAATTGGCACAGAGCGGATACACCTGGGAAACACAGTTAGGGAACATAACCTGGCTGACCAGACAAAGGAAGCAAAACTGAACATCTCACACACGACTATAGAGCTCTAATCATCTGCAGCAGTAACACTGATCCATAGAACACTGACGGGGAACATTTCTTTTTACACTTTTAAGTGTAGTGAAGTGTTTTCAAAATATTTTACTACTATTTCAGCTTGTCTTGTCAAAAACTAAAAGTCATAATCACTGCTTGCCTTGTCTAGCAATTATTCTGCATCAATAAATTGACACTAGTGAAAAAAAAAGCATCTTGAGATTTGGACCCTTTTTTTAATCATTAGGTAGGTAAAAACCCAAAATTTTATCTGCAAATGTCATCCTACCCACTTATAAGTAAAGCAAACAACATTTTCTAATTCTTAAAGAAATCAAAGATAGTTTTGATTTTCCACAGACATTTGACAGACAGGAGGTGGTTTGGTGGCAGGAAAGGAGAAGCTAGTGTGTTGCAAGTTCCACAGTGCAATTATGTGATTTTGCATGCGTGGATATGGGAACTGCAAAGTAAGTAAATTAGGTGGAAATGAACATTTTTTTTCTTGATATGACCTATGTGAACTATCACAAAAAGATAGCTGATAGCTATCTTTAAATGTATTCTGATGGGTTTAGATTTTGTTATTGTCATTTGTATTTAGAAATATTTAACCATATATGCTTAGAGGTGTATAATCATTTGTAGATTGAAAGAATGTCTCATCCTAGGAGGTCTGTAACAACTCTGTGTAGCATGAAGGGGGAGTGCGTAGATCACACCTCCTAGGAGAGGTCGTATCTTCTCTTGCTGATATATGGTTTAGCAAACACACGTATATCTGTTTAAGTATAAGAGCCTTTTGTTCAGATGGACCTGCTCCTGGCACCAGCGTTTGGGGAGTCTTCACAGGGTCACACCTTGACCTCACACACACACACACACACACAACACACACACACACACCACCACACACCACACAGTATTCTTTGTTCACATGTATACCTATGTAAGATGTTATATGTTAATGACCCTATGCATATTCATGTAACCACAATAAAAGGAGTGCTATGGGGAACCTGGCTGAGAGTCTGACAGAGGTCAAGTGGTGGAACGACACTTGGCCCCAGCCAGGTCTCCCTCATGCATGAGTAAACCAGAGAGCTTTGGTGCCTTGTGTCTTGCTTTTTGCTGCGTAGCAGATTGTCCTTAATGTTACAGCGAATAGGTTTATGCTACAAACCTATCATATTCCAGTCAGAAAATCCCATAAGTCCTCATCGTAAAATGCTGCTTAAGTGCTGCACCTGGTCAACCAGCCTGTTTTATGAGCACAGTCGGAGCTGCTATCCTCTCCTGCTAAACAGGTTAAAATAGATGTAAGAGCGACAGGACTTAGTGTCGCGGAACTGAAGAAGCTCGTCGTAGGCTATATCGTCGAGGACATGTTGCCGATTTCCACTGTAGACTCTGAGTCATTCTGGTGCATCGTAACTAAAAGTGGTGTCAAGCTGCCCCAGAGAAAGTCATTTGTAGGATACCTTGAGAGAGAATATAACAAAATGAACTCTATCTTGAAGGCTACACTCAAAGAGGTAGAGTTTGTTTCCACCACCGCTGACATCTGGACAGTAAATAATAAATGTTTTATGGGGGTAACAGTTCAGCCCTGTCATTTGGAGTCTGAATCTGAAAATGAAGAAGGTGATGACGAGGAACTGACCTTTACTGATGTCATAGAAGCTCTTTCAACCGCATCTGGTGATGCACAGTTTAGCCTCCCTCCACACTGCAGATGTGCATCACACACAATTAACTTGATTTCAGATTTCGATGTTGATAAACGTCTAAATTCCTGTGCAGACACCAAGGCTGTATATAGGAGTAGCATTGCAAAATGTTCTCCTCTTTGGACTAGAACAAGTCGATCAACATTAGCCTCTGAACAGGTGGAGGAAGTCAGCCGCAGCAAACTAATGGTACCAACATCCACAAGTTGGAATTCCCTGTATGAGGCCATTTCCAGAATCATCACAATTTCCTTGAATGAACTTAATGCCCTGTGTGTAAAACTGTTTTTCTGCCTTGTTTTTCTGTTGTGGTATTTAGCCTAACAAACGGCTCGCATTTTGTTAACCTTCAGTTTTTTCCTCCTGGCTGATCAGTCATGACAAAATGCAGATGTATTGACTAAACTAAAACAGTACATAAATATAGCAAACGGTAAATAAATTGGCCATTATTATTGCTACTCCCCCTGGTGAAAACATATGTACAGTTTGACTTTTTGTTCGCTTAAAAAATGAAAAGTGTCACGGACCCGGTTCCGGGGACTCGGGGTCCGTGAGCAGTGTGGACTATAACCTCTACTTTACTATAGTTAAGGTGTGTTACCTTAGTTTAGTTCCTTGAGTGTTTTAAAGTTTAGATGTCTTATTTTTCTTATATTCAGTTTGGCTCTGTGAATTTTTTCCTCGATTTTATTCTTTAAAATGCTGAGTCTACATTTTTTGCTAGTTTCCCTTACTGATGATTTGTGGAGTGCTTAGTTCCCTCTGCGTTCCCTCTCATTTCCTCCATCTGTCTCATCTTGCTGTTTGTCCTTGTCTTCCACTGTTTCCTTGTATCTATGTGCACACTTATGAGTCAGGCAGCTAATCAGTGGCTCCTGTGCGCTTGTCTTTGGAGGTTTTCTGGTTTTGATTACAGCCACTGCTCACTGGAGAAACTATAGTAATGCAACTCATGCATTTCAAAAACTATAGTATTGGAATGACTTGATTCACGGCATTATGCTTATTTCAATTTTACACAGCCTCCTAAATTGGAAATAAGGTTGCCTTACTTTCCTCTGATTAAAAAGATCACTTGTTTTATTTTAATTTTGATAAATTTCAGTGTTTTAAAAGTTTAAATGGATTTAGTCATGCACAGAAACACAAC